TATACATGTATCGCGATATTTCAAATATCGTAGCGACTGAAACATGAGGCGGCCTGGTGCAGCACATTCAGTTGCCTGAGAACACCACAAACGAGGGATTCAGCTGGGTTCCAGGTGAGTCTCTCGAAAGAACCGAATTAGTTTTCAGATGATATTATATTAGCATTCAACATTGTTTGTCCTTTCTTCAGTTGTTGGTCTTTAGACGCGTGTTTCCATACCAAAATTTTCACATACGATTCGTCTCTGGTTTTAAAAGGGGCCGTTCCTCTCTTTTATCTCGTATTCTCTTGTTACCTTTTCGCATTCGTCGCTTGCATTCACTAGTTGTGTTTGAGAACATGCTCTTCAAAAATAAGTGATAATATTAGTAAAAGAGATCACGAGGATTTTCAATGTTGTTGGTGTGGTCCGCGTTGCAAGAAATATCAAATGATCGACATCAGTGGCTTTCTTGGTGTTGGTCTCTATCCACATTATCTGATTGTGCGCTTCGAGGTGTAGACACCTTAGAATGCTCGCGATGAACTAGCACCAGATTCCTCTCTCACCTTCTATTTTCTATTCTTTTTAGTTGAGGATTCAAATGTACACAAATGAACCGTGTGATTGTATAGCAGTGAAGCATGTGCATACCCGCATTCCGGAATTTATCAAAAGACAGGCTACTACTCACTATTATTCAGTAGCTCGCGTGTTCAAGACTCCCTACTGAAGTTTCGCGTGATGTGCAGTGCTAAAGATTCTCAGTAAGGGCTCACAGTACTTTCCGAGCTTTTCGGTATAGATTGGCTTCATTTACAGGACGAAATTTACGTAGAACCACTACATCAGCATTTTGCTGAAAAGCTTGCATCTGCAATGATCTTTTATTCCAAAATGGAGTGAAGGTTCGATGGGTGTCCCATAGATATGTTAATCTCAGTAATTCTTATCCATCTTGAACTTCCGAGCTTTCTGGCATGCATGTTGACGCGTACTCATTTACATACTAACTTGAAGGGCGGGCATTCCTTTCAGGCTTCGCCTCTCAGGTGAGCTGCGGCGTTCCGCAGTCAACCGAAGGTCTGATATACAGTGTAAAACTTAGGAAATTAAACAGAATGGCGCATCATTAGCGCGCTCAATCGGTAGACTACGTTTATCAAGTCAGCTGTAAATAACTGAATGCTTGGGACCCAGAGTCTAAGCGAGTTGGGGTCTGGAGGCCTCCAGAAGTCTGGAGTCAGAAGACTCTGTCAGGGTTCACACATACGACAGCCATTAGTCAGCATGGTCTGCACAACGCTAGCCACACAGTTTTGTAGGAAATTAGAACAGAACACCACATTATATTACAAGGCATACAAAACAACTTTGAGATAGCCAAGAAAATCAACACACAATTCAGTATAGCAAACCAGCGATCTATTTAGTATTCCTATATCGTTGAGTCTTGGTGCTTCGCTCGGGTGGCAAAAATGCTGTCTGGCACCCATCGCCTAGTGTACAGCCTTTTTAGCTACTCACAACTATATTATCATTTATTTTTGAAGAGCATGGTCACAAACATAAAAAGGGAATGCAAGCGATGAATGCGAAAGAGTAACAGGAGAATATAGGAGAAAAGAGAGAAACGTCTCATACGAAATCATGTCAAGGACAGTGCCAGTCTAATGAGGTGAATCCCAAAGTATGTAAAGATTTTGGTATGGAAATACGCGTCTAAAGACTGACAACCGAAGAAAGGACAAACAATGGTGAATGCTGTTCAAGGGGTGGTAGGCGCTAGCACAGTCAAGACTCGCACATCAAGCACAAAGTGTCCGTCATACTGGGTCTAGTGTGAGAGTAAATGGCAAAAATGTACATTCAACGCCATGTGCCACGCATAAAAGTGTCATAAGTACGCAGAGAGCCCACAATGGTAAGTAAACACAAGCCACCGACTGTGACCTTAGGAAGTCCCAATTCAATAACAGCCTTAGCGGATTGAGGAAAGCAGATTCCTCGATAAGAGATTATCATCGGTTGGTGGACCAAAAAGTCGACATCACAACCGATTGCATGTAGGGCTGAGATTATGGCGAGGGAATATTCGTCAGCACCATACTTCTGCTTCTTCTCATTCCACACAGTCACTCCGCGCCCATCCGAGACTATGCTGACGTCTATTACAGTTGCTCGGTGATCTCGAACAGCGATTAGGTCAGGTTTGATGAAGGACGTCGAAGTAGGTGCTCTCAACTCCTCGAAGACGGTTTATCGCAGTCAACACAGACGTTTTCCGAGTTCCCTTGTAACCCGATTATGACGAGCACATCGGGTATCATGCGTGTTCCAGTAGGATTGCAAAATATGCACTAAACTCTCCGGTTGGCCACAGTTTCCACGGCATAAAATCGTCTGGCTAGCTTGCTTACACACTATTTACTTGCTCACTCGCTTACCTACTTGCGTAATCACTTCAGTGGTCCGATGTGCACACATGTATACCTAGCCACATTCGTTTGGCCACACCGCTGTTTGACCTCAACGGGACACCCAGATGTGACCTGGGGGCGGATGAACCTTGCATTCAGACAGCTTGTCACCGGTAATGTACATTCCCTGCTGTTCGGTCGAACTGATTTCCTGCATGTCAGAACAGCAGCTAACAGGGAATCAATTACAAACTATTATATTCCCCTATGGAAACACAAAGCAAAACCTCATCCATATTCTGGAGTCAAAAGCGATTTCTTATTCGGCCTTGCCCCTCCAAAAGGTTTTTACAATAGGGAACATTCTGTGGAGGAAATCATTTTCACGACAGGTTGTTGTTGTTGCAACTTTCCTCCAGCAAAGAACCCCATAGAAAGGACAAAGTTAAGTGAAACCGATGAATAAATAGTGCAAATAGAGGGCGGACTTTTTGAACCGAAGCGGTGTTGGTATCAGTTCAGTTATCAGTACATATGGGTGCATACGCAGGATAGTGAATATAGGGTACATTCCTTGACTCCAGTCAGCTTCTGTTTGGAAAGATATGATCGTTACACGACCGACTGTCGCATTCGGTCAATCCTCAGGCAATCTGATTGCGATTCAAATCCTGTCGTCGTTATTTTTAAGTTCACCATCCATTTGGCGCCAAATCACAAATTTCCGAAATTAAATTCGGATTGTATGCCTATCTTTGAGTTGATGAACTACATGCCATTGAATGCGATCACTATGACAGAGACAATGGGAAAAACGGCACTTTCGTACAAAAATCCTTTCAGTTTGCATTACCATACCACTTCGTGTAGTCAACAATAACCTGTCACTTGACAAATAAAATCGCCGTCAAAATACTCGTGTACTACTGTTGAGAGCACTTAAGTAGACGGTACATATCAAAACCAGCCATACAAAAAGACGAACTCACCTTCCATTCCACTCGAAATACAACGGGCGTTTTAACTGGTCGTAGTTCTTGAACCACAGTCCAGAAAAGTAAGGCACAATAATCTCATTCAATAGGAAGCACGAATAAAATGCAGTCCCTATCCAAAACCAGTATTCCGGAGTGCATTGATCGTTTGTCATCCCAAATGCTTCGAGATGACAGACTGAACCGAACCGAAATGTCGATTGTTAGTCCAAATTACTGAGCCGTAGGCATTATCGGATTGTCACTGACTATGAGACACAGTAGGCGTGAGACACACAAGGTCACGCGATTGATGTCGACATTTATGAGTTCACAAACAGACGCACACACAAAGCATCCCACATTCTGATTGGCTGGATCGACATTAAGCTGGTGGAACTTACTCGGTATTGTATTAGTTGACAATCAAATTATTCGTTTGCAAGATTTTTGCCACAGTAGTTCCGAGCAATCTCAAATCCAACGGTTTGCGTCCATCTGTGAGAAGAATAGGAGGCAGGCCTCGCTGTAGGATTTAAAACCGAAAGAAATGTTTATATTTCTCGGTACGTCTGAAATCACGTGCATTCACCCTGTCCCTACTGCACTCAGTCACGTGGTAATGGATGCGAGTGACGCGTTCTATCAGGTGTTCAGTTCCATGGGAATTTCTACTGACAGTAGGGAGGATACCCATCACGTGAGCGGTCCGAATCTTCACTGAATACTAACAGTTTCGACGATTCCACTGTATTCCAATGTCCAACTCCACAATACCGCGACTCACCAGAACCTGTCAGTAAGAACCGGGACCGAAAATTGGGCTTCTGAGTGGATTCATAAACACCGAATTTCGTCAGTTTTGAAAACTGAGTGCATCCTGTATTTTTTAATAGCACTTCCAAAGTCACGTCTCAGAATGATTGAAGAGGAAAAATAACTTCACAAGATCAGTGGAACTTTCATCTGAAATGTTGTCACTCGAGGATCCAATCAGCACACGTAACCGTGTGATGTGGATCCCGTGACTGAAGGCTGAATGGCCCTATATCCTACCTAATTGCTAGTTAACTACACGGCTGATCAGACGTTCGTGGCCGAAAGTTCAAGTGTTCAAACTGATCGTCTGCGGGTTGCCGGCTCGAGAAACCATAGAGTTTAGTAAAATATGCACCGCTGACGACTCCCAAATCGGATGAAACAGCTGTTTACTGTTTGCCGATGTTTCGGTCTTACGAGAAATAATCTCCATTACAGTGGGCTACACCTGTTCTAATATCTGAAACACAACTGTGAAACCTAAAAGACGGTCAGCCAGAAGGCTTCGGCCCCTCATGGAATAAAATACGTCTTACTATTGTAATGGGCAAAGCAAAGCGGGTTTGGGCTTACATATGACAGGAACATTACTCCGGAGAAGCACTCCTAATTTCTAGGCAGAAAGCTATTTCAGTTTTCTGCTGTCGCAGACATTTAATGTAATCCCCGAGCTAATAATGGGTGAAATGGTGAGTGTGAAAAAAATTATAACGGAAGACTTTCACAGAACTCTAAAAGAATCCACCTTGAAGCGTACACCAAAACGTTCATATGTAATGTGAGTTGACGAAAATCAATAAACCGCTTCATCGCCATGGTTAAGCGGTGCCGCATTGTCTGCAACACTTGATCCCAGTGGTCAAAGTGCGAACTTACTGCACGAAAGGTCGGTGGTTCGAACCCAACCTTTGGATCTCGACGGCTTCTGTCTAGACCTGGATAACCTGACAGTATCTCAGCTGTCGTTTTTCTTTTGAGTGGCAAGGCAGTTAATCACCGGAAGGGTGTTACAACCGAATGGTTGATTTCATGTATTCTTCAGCACGAACATAACTGTTCCTCCGGAGCAGTGTCATGTGAGAACACATGGAGAGAGATTTTCCAGGTTTTATAAATCAAAGGATGTGTTGCAACGCATGGCCAAAGAATACGATAAAAGCGATGTGATTCAAATCCGACAATTCCACTCGGCATCTGGAGACTATGGAAGAAGGACGATGAAATGAACTGATAGCTATGAGCTTATCTACGGATGTCTGGACAAAGCTGTCACTGCCTAGTTTGAACTTATTAGAAGAGTTTCTAAGATTAGCCTTGTTCGGTCATGTTTTGAGTTGGTTGGCTTCTGGGTAAACTGACCAATCGGTCTTCAGTACATCAAATTCACAGCCCACCGACTCGAAGACAATTTTGCAAGTGACATCCTATGAATAGTTGGGCAGCTAGGCATCAGAATACCGACGAACTCAACAAAAATTTTTGCTCAGTGTTCAAAGGAAAACCATAGTCAAGTGAACTGAAATCCAGTTTGCTCCAGTCGAATGATTGCGATGGAGAGACGTTGGCAGAGGAGTCCGCATTTGGTAAGAACCTCACATTGAAAGCTATCACAGTGATTGAGAGAGTGACAAGAGATGATCGGAAATTTCTTTCAATATATGTAGACCAGCTAGGCAACCAGTCCGTTTGTTGTATTCGTCCCATAGGTGACACAGTAAGTGGCCAGATAACATGGAATGGTGAACCACATAAATTTCGTATAGAAAAGATATTGTTTATTCCTGTCGGATGACACACATCTCACCTGGACAGAATACTCGGTGTCGGATACAGCAGACTACTTCTCCAGTTTTTTTTATTTCCTTGATTTCCGCGAAGGCTACTTCGCTCTGGTATTAACCAAGTTCTCGAGATCTTATTCAGTCAGGATCGTGGGATCTTCCAATTAAAAAGACTGCCAGCGATGAGTTGGACGGGAGGAGATTGCAACCGGTCAGGTGACATAGATCTTAACATTCAGGATTATCATTAATATGCCACTGGCTAGTATTCTGTACCATAGACAGAAGGACCAGTGTGTCGGTGAAAAGGTGTCGGTGAAGCTGCACGCGACCTTTTGAAATTACACAACACTTTGGATTAGCTCCGAAAATTGCTTTCTGCCATCTTGTTTTGATTCACGAAAACAGGGAAGGATATCGACCCAATTAGGACACGTCTGGATACTTGCCCACGGGATTAGGAGTGCGTCCAGGCTTAACGCTAGATGAGAAGAGTGCCCATCGATATTGATCCATTCTACCAATCCATACGAAAAAAGCCTTAGTTAATGGCTGAACTTCTAGTTGAGTTGGAAACCAAAAAACAGAGCAGTATCGAATGGATCAATCCAAATAAAGGGAGAAAACTGCTCAAAATAGCCGATCAAACGAGGAAAGGGTAGATGACAACGCGACGAGCAAACAGGCCCCTCAGAACACAAGCAGAAAAGCTGAACTAAAGGCATTCAGTGAACCGATCAAGAAAACGAGTCAAAAATTCAATATTTATCCCAATCAGACCGATCAAGTTATGTGCAACTAACTATTTAAAGTAGAGATATTGAACATGCCTTGGAAACCATAGTAACGTAAGCGTATAAGAGGGAGGCTACCCATTCCACCATGCATTCAGTGGTGACGAGAATATTTCAAACCACTTGTGAGATCTCGCAAAAAAAACAAGGTTTCCAACTTCCACAGTGAACGACAATTGATCCGGTCGTGCACTGATCCAAAAAAAATACATTAGGTGTACAAATTAGATGGCATGGCATGGCCAAATATGGTTGCATTTTTATGTATAGGGTGGCTTCTGCGTCACACAGCGTTCGTTGTACGATGGCATCAGTTCATCCGTATTATGAGCAAATTGTAGTCCCCCGGTGGGAGGTGATAGTAATCGCATACAAAACAAGCATTTATAGCTTCGGTAAAGGTTGGAAGCTGGTTGAGGAAAATTGTTGAATAGCTTGATGTTTTCTTGAAAAAAGTACATAGGGTGAAATGGTCGGATTTCTCCAGGGTTCCTTTAGTTCTGGTGGTGTTGAGTACAATTCTGCATTTGTGACACTGAGTAAAGCAATTAGTCGGTTGCATTGGGGTTACAGAGAGGAGAGCGAATACCAGTGGCTCCATGCGGTGCTACATTCCGCTAGAACAAATGTCTCTAAGCACCTTTGATCAAAGTCCAATCCTTCTTTACAGTATAATCCAACACCTCAAAAAAGCCAAAAATAGAAAATATTGTGTATTTCATTCTCATTGGTGCGTGTATCTTCACCTTGTGGGAGTTAGTGGTGAAGGAAATGAGAAAAAATCTATCCTCGTGTATGTTCGCTCACAAAATTGTGCATTTCCGGATAAAAACATGATGATTCAGCTAAATTTATTTAACTCTTATTGTCTCTCAAAAAGCATTGAGCAAAATTTAAAATAGGTTTCGATCCAGATGCCCCTCAAACCGCGATTAAGTTATTTAGAACTCCTTGATTATTTACTGTTGATCCGTAGAAGCCTCGGAATATAACGGGTTACTCGTGAGTAGTTGAGTGATCGGTGTGATTGGCGCCTACAGTACTCATTCGAACAGTCTCTTCCATGTCTCGGCGTTTGTTCGGGTTTGTTCTTAATGGGCCTGAGCTTAGCTTTCATTAGGGCAGCGAGTGCACTTGGCCATTCCCCTGAACTCCGACATAACTACGTTCTCACCACTCCACCGCACATAGACGTAACTCCCTACTTACCGAATCGACGCTAATCTAATGCGAACTGACGATGTTATCCCGATTGGCGAAGAAACGCTTACAAGTTCAGAAGGCACAAAACAGCTGCTCTCTTCATACCGTCACTAATTACCAGATCACTCTTGCGCTTCGCCGCCCGTTTTCTTCGCAGATTTTTCCATGCCATTCCTTCCATATCCTTCATATGTCACCTAAATCTGATTTATTTCGTCGCGTGGACCGCATGATTTATTTAGCGTTGTCAGGCCCGTAGCTTTGCCATGGTGATAACAATTTCGTCATCAAAGTGTTTATACCCCACGTATTTGTCGTTTCACGATAAATGTGTTCAACCATAACCGTTCGAACGTGACTCAAACACAATCAATAATGGGTTAAGTAATCAGGGTAACATTTACGTGACATTACCAAGGGGATAC